AATATACAGTGTAAAAGAGGAAAATATTATTACTAGGTATGCTTTTCGTTTTTCTTCTAGGAGAGCAGATGTGTGATAGAGGCTGTGGGAAAGTCTTGGAGGAATCCAAACTTGTGTGAGGTTTGGGTTTGTTTTTTTCAAGCCTGTAACAACAGAGAGAGGTGTTAAAAAAACCCAACGAACCACCAAAGCAAAAAAACAACCAGCAGCCACGATCTTGGGCTGAGGTAAAGTGGAAAAGGGGCTGCAGTTAATCTCCCTTCATGGGCTTGGTTTAGAAATGGGGCGAGGAAGGGAGAGCAGCCCAGGCCGGGACCTGGACTCCAAGGACAACTGTTGAACCATGAAAGGACAAGGTAGGAAATGCCCATGGGGAGAATGGGGGCTGTCAGCACCCCGGTGTCATTCGGACAGGCTGAGGGGAAGGACCCTGCTGATCCCAGCTTGCTCCTCTCTCGGGCCATAGCCCTCAGGGGTTTTAACTTGAGGAGGCACCAGCTGGGGAGCAGAGAGTTAAGTCTGAGTTTAATTTTGCACTTAAGAGGAATTCAGTCTCTGTTGATCCAAGGCAGGAAGCGAGGACGGCAGCAAGATGAGATTACCGGGGGTAATTCAAAGCCGAGAGGCATTCCTCGGCTGTCGAAACTCTCGCCCCAGATAACAACGATAAGTTTGAGAACCGCAGAGCCGGGCTTTGGCGCTGCCGGATCCCTGCCACAGCGCGAGCGGCGATGTCACCCTGCAGGGATCGATCCTGCCTCGCCGCCCTTTTTCTCAGGGACATCGCGTTGGCTTCCTCACCCCTCTGCCCCCTCCCCAAAGCAGCAAATCCCCAGGAGCTCAGCCGGGCGCTGTTGTGCCGCAGCCTTACCAGCACACTGTGGTTTCGCAGAGAGCACGCCAACCCAGTAGCCGCCTTGGAAGACTCCATTAATACCCACAAGACTGACTGTAGGCCACCATCACACACCTGAGACCTGCGAGAGGACACAGTGGAGGGTTAGGGATGCTGTTGGGGACAGCTAGGAGAGCCAGGGGCTGTGGTCTGTGTGCTGCAGGGAAAGGTTATTTTACAGTGCCCAGGGTCTCAGCGCTTCTGAAGGGGACAGTGTGAAGCTTAACGCTGTCCTAACGGGCTCCACGTAGTAAATACGAAGAGGATGAAGGCGGGAGAGCCAGGATGGCAGCAAAACTCTTCGCTGGGCTGCACCGTAGCCCTTCTCGTCTGGAGGAGCCTGGCGGGGAGCCGAGAGGTCCCCAACTCTTCGTCTTCACTGCCCATCGTGGCTACTGTGGGCAGGTGGACCTGTTCCAAGGGATTTGCTCATCTCCCCTTCCCAAATACGGTTCTGCTTACATTTCAGCTGGAAACATTGGCACGTTCCATATTTTGGAAGAACCGCCGGTTCCCAAACCCTCGCCGCTCCCTATTTTTATCTGCTGGGCCTAAAATAGCTGGTAAGTGCTTTGCAGATCCAAGTCTCGCGTCGACTGCAGCCACGGCTGGGCTTCTTGCCC